GACTGGAAGGTAATCCTGTCCCTATCTTATTAGTCTGTACGTGGTCCGTAAATGTACCAGCTCTGACCCAGTCCAGAAGCCCATGAAAGAACTAGACCTCTATCAAAGCAAATCTTAGGGATTCTGCTTTCATTCCTTCTGTGCATTAATCATTGTTTTGTTTTTGCTACAGGTGCATGTGCTTGCCAAAAAGACAGAGAGACATAAAGTAAGAAATCACCCCCCAGGGGAATGGCCATACCACAGTCCCTTCTCCTCTAGGGATCTTGGGCATGCATGCACATGTGCCAGGTGTGACTTTAAGCCACTGGGTCTGGGACTCGAACTGGAGTCAACAACATGGGAGTCCAGCGATGTAGCCATTATGTCATCTTCTGGTCCCATTATTGTTTTTAAAGCCATGAAGAAGAGAATAATTACTCTGGCAAAGTATCCTAAAAAAATAAAACTCTTCAGAGGCAAATTTCCTATAGCTGTCATAACAGATGACCACAAGCTCATTATCTGACAGTTCTACAGGTCAGAGATCTGACTGGGTCTCACCAGGCTAAACGTGTTGGCAGGACCTGCTGGAGGCTCTAGGAAGTACTGGTTTCCTTGCCTTTTTCCACCTTTCAGAGGCTACCTTCATTCCTTGGCTCACAACCCCCTTACTTCATCTTCAAAGTCAGCAATGGATAGAGTCCTTACATCCTCTCTCTCTGACCTCACTGCCTCCTTCTTCTGCTTTTAAGAACTCATGTGATTAGGGACCAGCAGTTAGTGTAATGGCTATGTCGCTTAACTCCCATGTAGTCGACCACGGTTCGAGTCCCGGATCTGATGGCTTAAATTCATGCTGGGCGCATGTGTGTGCGTGCCTAAGATCCTGAGAGGAGAATGGAGGAGAAGGGATTGTGGCGTGGCCATCTCCCCTGGGGGGTGATTTCTCACTTTCTATCTCTTTCTCTCTGTCTTTCTGGCGAGCGCACGTGCCCTATAGCAAAAACCTCTTAAAAAAAAAATAAAAAAAGAACTCATGTGATTAAAACTAGGTCTACCCAGATAATCCAGGATACTCTCCCCAGCTCAAGTTCTGTACCCTTAATCCTATCTGCAAAGTCTCCTTTGTCACATAATGTAACATATTTACAAATTCTTAGGGTTAGGATGAGGACATCTTCGTGGAGCCATTATTCTGTCTACCATAGGAGGCGTGGAAAATATTATTGTTAAGGGAGAAAAAAGGTATAGATGCTTCCTTGTATATGGGCAAAGGTATAGGTATAAGATGATGCTACTTCTTACAGTAGGTATCCCTAGGCAGTGGAATTATGGGTAGTCTTCTCCATTTCTTATGTATCTTTGTTTCTTAAATTTTCTACATTAAAAATAAAATACTGGGCCCAGTCTGTGATACAGTTGAAAGCAAACTGAACTGCAGTGCTGGAAGCCACATAGCTGACTGTAGGTTTGGATCCCTGGGTCAGCTTGAAACCAAAACAGGTGCATGCATGCATGCCCAAGATCCTGATGAACTGGAGAGTTGGGGAAGAGGATTACAGCATGACCTTGTCAATGGTGCCTGCACTCTCTATCCTGAATAAAATAAGTAAACTTTAAAAATAAATAAATAAAATACTTAAAAATATATATCATCATTCTCCAGGCACATGTATGTGTGTGCCCAAAAATCCCAAGGGAAAAATGGAGAAAAGGGACTGTGGTGTGGCCAGCCTCTATGTGGGGAGGGGAGGATGTGATCTCTCACTTTCCCTCTCTCTGTCTCTCTCTGTCTCTAGTGAGTGTATGTGCCCTAAAACCTAAAGAAGAAAAAAATTGTGATTATTTATGAAAGTGTTACTATTAATAAATACATGACAATCTATTGGGTCATCAGTTGGGTCATCAGAAAAGTCATAACATATTTTTCTGTGTTTCTGTGCAAAAACACATAGTGACTTTTCCGGTGACCCAATATTTCTGGATAAAGTGTCATGATGCCGGCAACTTACTGTTAAGGAGGAACACATACAACCTACCAAGTCTGAACCAGGAAGAAACAGAAAGCCTAAATAAGCCAATAACAACGAGTAAGATCGATTCAGTAAGAAAACATCTCTGGACAAAGAGAAGCCCAGGACCAGATGGTTTTATTGCTGAATTCTACAAAACCATTACAGAAGAGCTAATATCAATTCTCCTCCAACTAGTCCACTAAAGTGAAGTAGAAGGTATGGGGAGTGGCTAACAAGAAGGAATTCTCCAAACTCATTCAAAAGGGCCAGCCTTACCCTGATACCAAAACCAGACAGACACAACAGAAAAAGGAAACTACAGACCAATATCCCTAGTGGACATAGCTGCAAAAACTCTAACAAAGTACTGGCAAATTACTCCACCAGCAAGCCCATCCAAAAGATTACTCACCTCAGTGTCGAAGATTTAGAAAACATTGGGACCAGCAGATGGCATAATGGCTATGTTGTTGGATTCCCACGTAGTTGACACAGTTCGAGCCCAGACTAGTGGCTTAAAACTCACGTGGGGCATGTGTGTGTGTGTGCTCAAAATCCTGAGAGGAGAATGAAGGAGAAGGGATGGTGGTGTGGCCACTCCCTCCTTAGGGAATGATTTCTTACTTTCTGTCTCTCTGTCTCTGTTTCTCTGGTGAGTGCATACATCCTATAGCAAAAATCTCTCTAAAAGAAAACACATAAATAGATACATAAGGCAAATATGACAAAATGATGACTTTGAAACAAGGAGGTGTGTATATACACACACACACATGTTCACTGTAGTTTTATCTCAATATGTTTGATTTTTCAATACTAAAAAGTTAGAGGCAAAAATGCAAAACTTTAGTGGACAGAGATTTTATATTGCTCATTATTCCCTTTATCACTTTCAAGAATAACTTCAGAGTCTAAGCTAGAGTGTGAAGATAAACTACAAAATTAAGGCAAGTTTTCTTCTGCTACCATCTTTACTAAATTATCACATAATTAGTAGGAAATAAGGTGATAGACTTGTTGGGTTTCACTTAAAGGGTCTCATTTTTTAAGGAATGCTTCTTTACTGTCATTAGGTCACTAATTTTTCCTATGGAGAAAGGGAAATAAATCCATTTCATGTGTCATGCTTGTCAACATGCTAGACTTGTACAGAGAAAGACATGGAGTTCCTGAAGTAGTATGTTCAAGGCTGGACCAGCTAGATACAAATAATTTGAGAGGCCAAGAGCAAATGGAATTGAGAGATCTCTTGTTAAAAAATAATTGAGAATTTTGAGGCCAGCAGGGGTATGGTAGTTAAGGTCCTGGATTGCCACATTATTGACCGTGGTTTGAATCCTAGACCAGGCAACTTGAAAATCCCAACAAATAAACACATAAATACATAAATAAATAAATGTTTTAAAAAATATACTGAGAATTTCAAGATGGCAGAGTTTTTCAGTGCATAGTTCTTCCAAGTGTAAGCCCATTGTACAGGACATACACCCATGAAACTAGCTCTTTACAAACCCCAGTGAAGAATCCACAGATGGACTTCTCACATTTGTATGCTGGGTATGTTTGTGGGGAGTGGGAATGATGGAGAAAAAGCATTTTAAACTCATTTCTGTGTGTAGGTCTTTTCGCTCCATTTCAACCCATCTTCTTAGGTATCCTTAAGACCAAATATCTCTGAGATATCTATCTAATAGGTATCAGTTCTCTAAAACAGCCATTCAGTTAGATGCTGATCATTATCTATGACAGTGTTGTATAGCAGCAACAATACATCTCAAAGAAAGGCCTTTATGGATCTTGTTAAAAGGAAACACAGGCCCTGCTAGTGGTGATGCATACTGCTAACCACCTGTGATCTACAAGCTGAGACCACATGGAAGACACAGTTCCTCTCCCGGTCCAACCTAAAGACTGGGTGCAGTGGTATGTCTGTATAATTCCAAAAATTTGGGAGCTGAGACAGAAGGACCGTGAGCAAGCTGGCTTAGGCAACACAGCAAGACTCTGTCTAAAAATGAGCTGGGTATGGTGTATGCTTACAATCCCAGATACTTGGGAGGCTGATGTCAAAAGATTAGGATAATGAGGGACCAGCAGTTAGTATAATGGCTATGTTGCTGGACTCCCATGTAGTCAACCGTGGTTCAAGTCCTGAACCCAGTGGCTTAAACTCACACCAGGCGCATGTGTGTGAGTGCCCAGGATCCCGAGGGGAGAATGGAGGAGAAGGGATTGCGACATGGCCCATCCCCCTGGGGGGTGATTTCTTGCTTTCTGTTTCTCTGTCTCTGTCTTTCAAAAAAGGAGGGGGCCAGCAGGTGGTATGGTGGTTACAGTGCTATAGGGTGCATGCACTAGCCAGACAGAGACAGAGAGACAGAAAGCGAGAAATCACCCCCCAGGGGGGATGGCCACGCCGCAATCCCTTCTCCTCCATTCTCCTCTCGAGATCTTGGGCACACATGCACATGCGCCCAGTGTGAGTTGAAGCCACCAGGTCCAGGACTCCAACCGCAGTCGACTATGTGGGAGTCCAGCGACACAGCCATTACATTACGCTAACTGCTGGTCCCGTAAATTAATTAATTTTAAAAAGTTTCAGAAAAAAAAAGAAAAGCTCATGAAAATACATATAGTGGGAAAACTATGTATGCATTTCAAAAAGTTTTTGTACCAAAATAAATTCATGCTTTAATTGTAAAATAAATAAATAAATAAAAGCAAACCATGTATTCTTAAAAAAAAAAAAAAAAAGATTTAGTGCCTCAGTGTCAGTAACTTAATCAAAGATTATGACTAAAAGTCTTGGGGGCCAGAGAGTGCACAGAGGTGAAGTACAATGCTCTGTGATAATGACCCACATGAGACAGTTGAGGTTCTCCTGTGGGACTATCTCAGAGCACTCACTGTACTTTATGCTATGTCACCATTTGGCTCAAAAAAGTTTTAATCTTTAAGTATAAGCCTCAATTTCCTTATCTATAAAATAGGGTTACAACTTACCACACAGAGATGTCATGAGGAAAATGTCTACACGGTAAATAAACACTCAGTAGAGGTTTTCCTTCTCTGAGGCTCAGTTTCCTTGCCTATAAAATGAGGAAGTTTGATTAGTGGACCATGATCTTTTTTTGAGTTAATATTCTGACTCACTCTTTTTACATCACCATGAAAAAGTTGTTAAATAAAAGATAAATGTCTTTACTCGTCTTCAGGTAATTATTTTTCTTTTATTTCCTGAAGAACCAGGAAGCTGAAAACAGATGAGCAGTGCCTCTGGAATGTTTGGGCCACCCCACCCTGGACACCTGGGAATGACAGGGTATTTCCACTCATTAGAATATTCCTGATGAGGAGAGCCTTCCTTATTTGGAAGATGATCAAACTTCAGTTTTAATAAACCAGTGCGAGTCATTAAAAATATTATATACTCTCGATTTTGATCCTTTAGTACTACTATCCTCCTCTTTAATTGGTTTGCTTATTTGCATTCGCAATCCAGATACTATGCTTACGCAATTATGCAAGTGTTCTGTAATTTATTATATCCAATGTATATATCACTAAAGTCCAATTAGATAATTATCAATTAGGGAGAGTTGCGTATTAACTAAGTTTACAGAGCTGTCCCCTACACATCTAAAGTGCTAATAATTGTCCATCTTTGACGGCACTAAGATAATAATTTTGCAATTCTCAGGGCCAGCAGGTGGAGTGCTGGGTGATGCACTCCTGTATGGCTGAATACAGTTCAAGTCCTGGACCTGATGCCTTGCTTTCTCACTTTCCCTCTCTCTCTTTGGTCAAATTAAAAAATAATAATAATAACAAGAAACAAGCAGTTAGTGTAATGGCTATGTTGCTGGACTCCCATGTAGTTCACCGCAGTTTGAGTCCTGGACCCGGTGGCTTAAACTCATGCCTGTCGCGTGTGCATGCGTGCCGAAAATCCTGAGAGGAGAATAGAGGAGAAGGGATTGCGGCATGGCCATCCCCACTAGGGGGTGATTTCTCGCTGTCTCTCTGTCTCTCTCTTTCTGGCGAGCACACATGCCCTATAGCAAAAATCAAACAAACAAACAAAAACTCTCCAAAAAGCTGAATAATAATAAGCAAAATTAAATAATTCTAAAATTTTTTTACAGTTCTCTCTTTGCTTTTCTAAGATTGAAAAGTAACCTATATCATGACAGTAGTAATACTTATCATTGTATAAAAAGGTAAAAATCGAGAAGAGGAGCAAGCACTAACTACATCAGGAAATATTGCCATTCCCACTTTCTCAAAACATGACATGTTTTTCTATTTAATAAAAATTTGTATGGATACAGAATCATAGAGAGGAACACCCACATGACTCAGAATTCAAAATATCTCATGTATGAGATTTCTTAATTTAAGCCTTTTCTGTGCCTGCCGAATACCAGTGGGTGAACAACGCCTTCAATGCCATTTTGGCATTTCCAGCACCATGCATACCTTTGTAGGATTCTTTACCCTGCCAGTTATGACTGTCTTCTTGTGTTAGAAAGACCACTGTGTTTGCCTAACCTTAGTTTTATTAATAAATATTGTAGTAGAACTGAACATAAAGAGACTGCCTTTGTGTCCACATTTATGATCAAGTTTCTCCATATACAAATTAGAGAGAAAACAAGTTGATCCTTCATGTGGAAGGCCGGGAGATTTCTTACAATTAGCAATAATAATAAAAGTTAAACTTCTCTGCGGATTCTACCGTTTTCTAGATATCATGGTTAGCATTTTGTTTTGTGTTATCATATTTAAGCCTAACAAAATTCTATGAAGTATGGTTTACTTTTTTTTTTGGAGAGGTTTTTGCTATAGGGTGCGTGCACTCACCAGACAGACAGAGAGAGACAGAGAGACAGAAAGCAAGAAATCACCTCCCCCAGGGGGGATGGTCACGCCACAATCCCTTCTCCTCCATTCTACTCTCAGGATCTTGGGCACGCACGCACACGTGAGTTTTAAGCCACCGGGTCCAGGACGCAAACCGCAGTTGACTACGTGGGAGTCCAGCTACATAACCATTACGCTAACTGCTGGTCCCTTATTTTTTCCTCTTTTTTTTTTTTTTTGTATGGTTTACTTTTTTAAATGAGTAAACTGAAGCTTAGGTAAATAATTTACCATATACAATGCGGGTAAATGGCGATGCCATGTCTGATTCTGAAACCTTGACTTTCATTATTCAGTTTGATCTTCTAGGAGGAAAATGGAAATGTTCTGACTGGTTGCATTGCTTACAAGTCCTTCAGCAACTGAAACCACACTCTGCCCCTCCTACCCTAACCCTCAACTCCCTGATGCTCCAGTAATAGCTATAGACCTATTTATAATTCCCTTTTTAAGTTCTGTCTTAAGTCTCTGAGCCTTCGTTGATGTCTTCTTGATTAAAATTTTTTTATCCCTTTAGTGCTAAGCCAGTTGACCTACTCATACTCATTGTCCAAGTCTCAGACTAAACTATGTACTCTGCCATGCTCTCATTACTCATTACAGAAAGTGAGAAATCACCCTCTGGGGGTATGGCCACATCACAATACCTTCTCCTTCATTCTCCTCTCAGGATTTTGGGCATCCGTGCACACGGGACCAGAGAGTTTCAAGCCACCCAGTCAGGACTCCAACTGTGGAAATCCACGTGGGAGTCCAGGGCCTTAACCACCATGCCTCCTGCTGACTCTCTCATTACTCTTGATATATTCCATTTTAACATGTCATCATTTAAACTACGAGACACTTGAGTCTTTTTTTTTTCTTCATTCTCGTATTTCCAGGGTCTTTCAAAATATGTTTCCTACTAAGCATTCAATTAAATAATTATAATATAGAATGGATGAATAAAAGGATGCATAAACAACATAAATTCGTACATAGAATTCATTAGGGTTGGGTCCTATTTTAGTTTATTACATTTAAGCCTAAAAGTTACTGGAAATGAAAACTTCATCCTCTCACAATAAAACTTTCCAATAGACCCTGTTTTTCTTCAGAATAAATTACCTGGAACACAGTAATAGCTCAACACATATTTGCTGAATTGTTGAAAAGCCTTAAAAAATATATAAAATCTTTATAATATTCTCTCCAGATTCATTTTGTAACACTCCTACCTTTTCCTCTAATAATGAATAACAGCATGTCATTTTTATCTATACCTCAAATATTTATTTAACCACTACGCCAGATTAGTGCACTGTTTCAAATAGTCTCATTTCTTTTCTTGCTAGCCCTCTTCCTGGAAATTTATGAACCCTTTCAGTAAATATGATATTTATCCTGGTTTTTCTACCTTCCCTCATTTAGTTGTTACCTCCCCGAGAGGGCCATCCCTGACCCCTTTGGCAGTCAGGACTTGCCTCTTATCTTAGCCAATGATTACATCAAAGTGAAGTTATCCTTATCTGTGTTTGTCACTCACTCCTCTCAAACCAGCTATACTTTGGAGAGCAGGGACTGAGCTTTTATTCAACTATGTGTCCCTAGGGCCGAGCACAAATCTAAGACAGGGTCAAAATCTTGTAGATTATACAATTTAAAATAGCTACTCCTTATTGAACCATTTGGATGAACACCTTGAAGTCTCAGTACGAGTGAGTTAAGTATTAATATTATTTCTACGTTACATATGAGAAAAAGAAGTTTGAAAAGTTGATCAACTTGCCCAAGGTCATACACTGGTAAAGCCTGTTGTCACAGGAATCTGAAGAATGATGTCACCCTCGATATTTAAATTCTTTAGACTCCTCATTATCTTTTCTTCAAGTTTTCGTTTGGCTTTTGCAGACATTCTTTCGTTAGACCAATGACTCCTCATTTACCTTAAGACTGTGAGTGGGACAGTGTTCCCTTTTTTCACATTGGAAATTGTTCGACCTCCCTCAGGCACAAACGTGATTATAACTTTCTGAAGTCTCACTCCTTCCGGGGTAGACACTGCGTAGAAACTCCGCGGGTCCAGCGAGAAGGACGGTCATTCGACTCTTTCTTGGGAACCCAGAGTTTTTCCTGGGCATGAAATACAGAGAAGAATTTGGAAGGGAGAGGTGGTTCTTCTCACACTGAGAAGAATTTGGAAGGGAGAGGTGGTTTTTCTCTGCTTAGTTGCACAAATCCCGAGACTTGTGGGAATTTGGTTGCTCACACTTAAGTCGGCTGTGGCTGACAGTGTTGCCCACAAATAAGATGGCTGTTGTTGAACACCTCCTTTGGCTAGGTCTATTGTCTTTGTTCGTTGGCATTTTCAACGAGAACTACAATGAGCAAAATTTAGAAAATGCTGGTATCTTCTTACTTAGAAGGTAAAACAATAAGTTAACATGGTTTATGAAATCTCCACCCACTCAAAAATCTCTCTTGCCCTTACCTAAAATGGTTGCGAAGGTTGTCCTGAGGTTTGAAGCTTTAGCCCTTAACTAAGATGGCGCCCGGAGGAGCGCTAGAAAATCAATTTGCCCTCTCTTCTGCCCTCGACCAACATGGCGCCGGCAGCGTCATTCACGTGACACCCCCAGACTACGGCGCGGGAGAAGGGGTAGGAGGGCTCTTGAAGGGTGCGCGTTCCCGTGGTAGTGCACCGGGTAGGTTTCAGTCAGAGTCACTATGGCGGCCGGCGCTGGCAAGGTAAGCTGAGACGGCGGCGGCAGCAAGGGAGGCAAGACCCGTCGTGGTGTCCCGGCTCCAAATCCCCGCAGCCCGTCAGCGGAGAGGTCGGCCGAGGTCTTAGCCAGCCGCGGGAGAGGCGGGGGGGG